TTATTTCCCCTTCTGTATTTGACATAAGGGATATATAAATGTATAGCATGAATGGAAAGTGATAGAGACCTAAGGTATATTGATTTGAGTTCCTTGGTTCATTTAAATAAAATTGAGGCCAAGGTCATATTCTAAATTTTGACTTTTCCTTGTTATTTGATCTCCTCTGTCACCTTTAAAATTACAAATAAAGAAACTAGTGCAAAATGTTTGCTTAATTGTGATTAAGATATGATACATTTGGTCTGAAACAATTAAATGATATCTTATAGGAGTTATTGTCCCTGAAATGATTCAATTTAAGGTTAATTGATTATTACTCCAACTTGGTACATGATAAAGCCATAGGGTCTTTTGCAGACTGTTGGTTGACATATGACCTTGAAAAAAGTAAACCGGAAGTGACCTTGAGTGAACCGGAAGTAGTATTTTTTGCACTTATTTCATGGAAAATTACATAGAAACCATATTTTTTTTTCAATGATCATAGGTTAACCTATCATTTGAGACCGGAAGTGACATTTTATAAACCGGAAGTAGCATATTATCTTCCTTATTACAGGCATAAGTATATACAAACTATATATTTTTGGAATCAGTGTGAATAAAGCTATCATATGAGACCGGAAGTGACATTTTCTAAACCGGAAGTTTGCAATTATCTCCCTTATTTCAGGCAAAAGTATATAGAAACCATTTATTTATTGAATCAGTATGAAGAAATCGATACTTTGACGCTATTAATAACTTTGAGTAAACCAGAAGTAGCTTCCTATCAATTATTTAGAAAATTGATGTGGAAAGACCTTCAATTGTTCTTTGAACAATTGGTTTTTAATTTTTTTTTCTTCCGCCAAATTTGATCTTGCGATAAATTTTTGTTTCGCAAGATGTCGCTTAGATGTTTCGTATATGATATCGAACAGTTTATGCGCCTTTGAAATTGACCCTGCTTAACCGAATACTTTTCTTTGTAGGAGTTATCTCCCCGAACACTGTTTTCCTTGTGCATGCATTTCCTCCGTAACCGTAAAAGAAAGCGACAAATTTATTTTACCAAATTGCTCGTTATATCCTCAGGATGTTTTGTCCAATTTTGACCGAAGCAATACGTAAACTCCATAGGAGGGTTGTTTCCCCTTCTGTATTTGACAGAAGGGATATATAAATGTATAGCATGAATGGTAAGTGATAGAGACCTAAGGTATATTGATTTGAGTTCCTTGGTTCATTTAAATGAAATTGAGGCCAAGTTCAAAGGTCAAGGTCATATTCTAAATTTTGACTTTTCCTTGTTATTTGATCTCCTCTGTCACTTTTTAAATTACAAATTAAAGAACTAGTGCAAAATGTTTGCTTAATTGTGATTAAGATATGATACATTTGGTCTGAAACAATCCAATGATATCTTATAGGAGTTATTGTCCCTGAAAAGATTCAATTTAAGGTTAATTGATTATTACTCCAACTTGGTACATGATAAAGCCATAGGGTCTTTTGCAAACTGTTGGTTAACATATGACCTTGAACAATATCAACCGGAAGTGACCTTGAGTAAACCGGAAGTAGCCATTTTTGCACTTATTTCATGGAAAAGTACCTAGAAACCATATATTTTTTGAATGGACATACATTTACCTTTCATTTGGGATCGGAAGTGACATTTTATAAACCGGAAGTAGCATATTATCTCCCTTATTACAGGCATAAGTATATACAAACTATATATTTTTGGAATCAGTGTGAATAAAGCTATCATATTAGACCGGAAGTGACATTTTCTAAACCGGAAGTAGCTAATTATCTCCTTTTTACATGCAAAAGTATATATAAACCATATAATTTTGGAATCAGTGTAAATAAAGCTATCATATGAGACCGGAAGTGACATTTTCCAAACCGGAAGTTTGCAATAATCTCCTTTATTTCAGGCAAAAGTATATAGAAACCATATATTAATTGAATCAGAATGAAGAAACCAAAGCTTGGACACCAATAGTAATTTGAGTAAACTAGAAGAAGCTTCTCATCAATAATTTAGAAAATTGATGTGGAAAGACCTTCAATTGTTCTCTGAACAATTGGTTTTTAATTTTTTTTTTCTTCCGCCAAATTGTGTTCTTGCGATAAATTTTTGTTTCGCAAGATGTCGCTTTGATGTTTCGTATATGATATTGAACAGTTTATGCGCCTTTGAAATTGACCCTGCTTAACCGAATACTTTTCTTTGTAGGAGTTATCTCCCCGAACACTGTTTTCCTTGTGCATGCATCTCCTCCGTAACCATAAAAGAAAGCGACAAATTTATTTTACCAAATTGCTCGTTATATCCTCAGGATGTTTTGTCCATTTTTGACTGAAGCGATTCGTAAACTCCATATGAGAGTTATTTCCCCTTCTGTATTTGACATACGGGATATATAAATGAATAGCATGAATGGTAAGTGATAGAGACATAAGGTATATTGATTTGAGTTCCTTGGTTCATTTAAATGAAATTAAGGCCAAGGTCAAAGGTCAAGGTCAAATTTAAATTTTGACTTTTTCTTGTTATTTGATCTCCTCTGTCACTTTTAAAATTACAAATTAAAGAACTAGTGCAAAATGTTTGCTTAATTGTGATTAAGATATGATACATTTGGTCTGAAACAATCCAATGATATCTTATAGGAGTTATTGTCCCTGAAATGATTCAATTTAAGGTTAACTGATTATTTCTCCAACTTGGTACATGATAAAGCCATAGGGTCTTTTGCAAACTGTTGGTTGACATATGACCTTGAAAAAAGTAAACCGGAAGTGACCTTGAATGAACCGGAAGTAGTATTTTTTGCACTTATTTCATGGAAAAGTACCTAGAAACCATATATTTTTTGAATGATCATAGGTTAACCTATCATTTGAGACCGGAAGTGACATTTTATAAACCGGAAGTAGCATATTATCTTCCTTATTATAGGCATAAGTATATACAAACTATATGTTTTTGGAATTAGTGTGAATAAAGCTATCATATGAGACCGGACGTGACATTTTCTAAACCGGAAGTTGGCAATCATCTCACTTATTTCATGCAAAAGTATATAGAAACCATTTATTTATTGAATCAGTATGAAGAAATCTATACTTTGACGCTATTTATAACTTTGAGTAAACCAGAAGTAGCTTCCTATCAATTATTTAGAAAATTGATGTGGAAAGACCTTCAATTGTTCTTTGAACAATTGGTTTTTAATTTTTTTTTTCTTCCGCCAAATTTTGTTCTTGCGATAAATTTTTGTTTCGCAAGATGTCGCTTAGATGTTTCGTATATGATATCGAACAGTTTATGCGCCTTTGAAATTGACCCTGCTTAACCGAATACTTTTCTTTGTAGGAGTTATCTCCCCGAACACTGTTTTCCTTGTGCGTGCATCTCCTCCGTAACCGTAAAAGAAAGCGACAAATTTATTTTAGCAAATTGCTCGTTATATCCTCAGGATGTTTTGTCCAATTTTGACCGAAGAGATACGTAAACTCCATATGAGAGTTATTTTCCCTTCTGCATTTGACATAAGGGATATATAAATGTATAGCATGAATGGTAAGTGATAAAGACCTAAGGTATATTGATTTGGGTTCCTTGGTTCATTTAAATGAAATTGAGGCCAAGGTCAAAGGTCAAGGTCATATTCTAAATTTTGACTTTTCCTTGTTATTTGATCTCCTCTGTCACTTTTAAAATTACAAAATAAAAAACTAGTGCAAAATGTTTGCTTAATTGTGATTAAGATATGATACATTTGGTCTGAAACAATCCAATGATATCTTATAGGAGTTATTGTCCCTGAAATGATTCAATTTAAGGTTAATTGATTATTACTCCAACTTGGTACATGATAAAGCCATAGGGTCTTTTGCAAACTGTTGGTTGACATATGACCTTGAAAAAAGTAAACCGGAAGTGACCTTGAGTGAACCGGAAGTAGTATTTTTTGCACTTTTTTCATGGAAAAGTACTTAGAAACCATATATTTTTTGAATTATCATAGGTTAACCTATCATTTGAGACCGGAAGTGGCATTTTATATACCGGAAATAGCATATTATCTTCCTTATTACATGCGTAAGTATATACAAACTATATATTTTTGAAATCAGTGTGAATAAAGCTATCATATGAGACCGGAAGTTGGCAATTATCTCCCTTATTTCAGACAAAAGTATATAGAAACCATTTATTTATTGAATCAGTATGAAGAAATCTATACTTTGACGCTATTAATAACTTTGAGTAAACCAGAAGTAGCTTCCTATCAATTATTTAGAAAATTGATGTGGAAAGACCTTCAATTTTTCTGACGGTGCTTTTTTTCTTCGCAAGATGTCGCTTAGATTTTTTGTGTATGATATCGAACAGTTATTGCGATTTTGAAACTGACCCTGTTTTGCCGAATACTTTTTATTGTAAGAGTTATCTCCCCATACACTGTTTTTCTTGTGTACGCATCTCCTTCGCAACCGTAAAAGATTATGACAAATTTATGTCTCCAATTTGTTCGTTATATCATCAGGATCTTAAGAATAATTTTGACCGAAGCGGTCCAGAAATTCCATATGAGAGTTATTTCCCCTTCTGTATTTAAAATAAGTAAAATGTAATTGTAATTGGTAAACCATAAGTGATAAGGGCCTAGGGTCTTTTGATTTGAGGTCCTTGGTCCAAAAAAAAGAAAATAGGGTCAAGGTCAAAGGTCAAGGTCATTTCTAAATTTGGATTTTGGCTTATTTTCACCACTTTTCAAACACGATACAAGATATCGACAACATATATTTATTTAATTGTTAGTTGCGGCATGTCGTAACACATACATATTGGTTTAAAGGGTGCGCTTACATCAAATTACAGTTTTCTCCCCTCTTTTATTTAAAAATATGCATATGGTGTATGCTGAGCCTGACTCAGCTAGCTTAACCAGGTGACTGTATCGCAATCTCGGCAAATATATAAAGAACACAACTTGTTTCGAAAATTGTAATTATAATATTCCACCAGAAAGGTTTACAAGTAGTCAGTAGATTGTTTGTGGTAAACTGCAATAAAACAAAAAAAAAAATACTTACAATGTGTATGAAAGAACATATTAAAGTTCATATGCAAATATTCAAAACAATGAAATGAAAACGAAAGTAGAATTTACAGTTCCAATCTCGGTTATAAATAACTTACAGCTCGTATGCATTTAATAAATCACTTATCCAAATTAACGGACTTAAACAGATTAAATTATCGCAGTTTATAAATGAATAAAACGTACTTGACAGTGATATGTCTCGATTTCCTCAGAAAATTAAATGTCGTCCATGTTACATGTGTTGAAATATTGAAGCAGACGGTGTCACAGAAATTTAAGGCAGTCAATACTTACGGTGATGTAAGAAATCGGTCCAGTGCGATTTGTTCCGGATGATTATGAAAACATATAGTAAACATTGAATGTGAAACAGAATACTCCCCGTCTGATGTCTAACTGATATCACTATTCCAAAAACTATATACAATCGTTCTCTATGAGAAGAATCATGTCTACGATTGGGCGTGTGTAGATGGTGGCTTTTCCATTTACGATGTTCGTCGGAACTCTTAAATGAATTTACTATAACGCCTATGGGCCATTGAGTACGGCAAAGGTTTTGTCCTTTAGGAGAATGACGTCTCCTTTGATGAAATCACGGCGATCTTCGGTCCATTTTCGTCGTGGTTGTAGTAACGGCAGGTACTCTTTCCTCCAACGGGACCAGAAAACACTGGCCAGAGCCTGTACACGTCTCCATTCGGCTAGACATAGATCCTGTTTGTCGAATTCTCCAAGCTGATCTGAAGTGAAGATGTAATCGGTCTTTTGTGTCAATAACATAGCTGGCGTTAAGATTAACGGATTCTCTGGATCTGTCGATACCGGTACCAGAGGTCTAGAGTTCACTTTTGCTGAAACTTCTGCCATTAGTATGTTGAGCACGTCGTGCGTTAGGCTTCTTCCTGCTGCGTTTAGAAGCATAGAATCAAGAATTCTCCTTGCGATACCAATCATTCTTTCCCAGGCTCCACCCATGTGGGACGAATGTGGCGGATTGAAGATCCAAGTTGTACCAGAATTGTACAGAAAGTTCTTAAAGGGTCCATCTTCGACGTTGATTGAGTCAATCTTTAAATCGTCGATTGCACCAATAAAGTTTGTTCCACGGTCAGATCGGAAAATTTTAACTTGACCTCTTATAGCGGCGAATCTTCTGACGGCATTTATGAAGGCTGAAGAGCTCATTTCCTCGATTAGTTCGATATGAACAGCTCTTGTCACTAAGCATGTGAAAAGAATTGCCCAACGTTTTGAGTGGGCGTATCCACCACGTGTTTTACGTGAAACAATTGTCCAGGGTCCAAAGGTGTCTATTCCAACGTTAGTAAACGGAGGTGACGGTGCAAGACGGTCCTCTGGCAAAACAGACATGATTTGATACTCAGTTTTTCCTCTGAGTTTGCGGCATGTCACACATTTGTGAATAATAGAAGAGATCAAGCGTTTTGCTCCGACGATCCAGAATCCTGCGGATCGAATCGCTCCATTTGTGAAGTGGCGACCTTGATGTTTTATCTTGTGTCGGACTAATAATGTCGCTATATGATGGCGTCCAGGGACGATCAATGGTTTCTTTTCACGGAGGTTTAAGTCAGATTTTACAATACGGCCTCCTACTCGTAATAGTCCTCTTTCGTCCAGAAACGGATTGAGGTTAGCCATCGGGCTCCGCTTATGAATTTGTTCCTGACGTTTTATGCAATCTATTTCATCTCCGTAAACTTCATGTTGTGCAGATATTAAGATGAAATTTTCGGCATTCGAAAAACTTTCCAGAGAAGTTACTGGTGCTGCCTGTTTTGACCCGTGTAAACGGGAGAAACGTTCCAAAAAGGCTATCGCTCTCACAAGTGATGTCCAGTTGGAGAAACGGTTGAATCTATCAGTTCCGATACATTTATGCTCAGGTGTGGCAGATGTTTTTGCAACGTTAACATTTGCACGGATTTCTCCATCTTCCTCTGGGTCTATTAGCTGATATATGTCCTCAGAATTCTTCTGTTCTGATGAAAGAAGTTGTCTTGGTCCTGATAACCATTCACTGCTATGAATTTCGTGGGCTGGTACGGACCTTGTTCCCGAATCTGCGGGATTACGGTTGGTTGGTACATAATGCTATTGACTTGGAGAGCTAAATTTCCTTATTTTCTCTACTCTATTGGCGACGTAGATAAAGAACCTTCTTGTCTCGTTACTGATGTAACCTAAGACCACTTTACTGTCTGTATAGAATTTCACGGTGTCTATGTGTAAATCTAAATTATCCACGATGGTTTGTGTGATCTCAACTGCTAGTACGGCAGCAGATAGTTCAAGTCGAGGAATAGTATGACCACTTGTAGGTGCAACTTTTGCTTTCCCAAGAATGAATCCCATGTTAGGTTCACCACTACTGTTGGTCGTGCGTAGATATGCAACAGCTGCTATGGCTTTTTCCGACGCATCGGAGAAGACGTTTAACTCCTCTGTGGCGGTTTTGCTGAGATAAGGCACGTAGGTACATGGAATGCGCAATGTTTCAATAGCAGTTAGAGTATCTCTCAAAGATTTCCACTTAGCTGCTGTCTCATCAGAGAGAGGTTGGTCCCAATCGACGGTTTCTGATACTATTTTCCTTAATAGGAGTTTCCCTTGTATAATCACTGGAGCCAAAAATCCAAGAGGATCGTAGATGCTGTTAATTGTTGATAAAATTCCTCTCCGAGTGATCGGTTTGTTTTCTGGTGACAATTGGAATAAGAAGTTGTCAGTGTTTACGTCCCAGCTGAGTCCAAGACTAGGTTGCAGGGGTTTGCTGTCTACATCTAAGTCTAGATCCTTAAGATTTGAAGCCAAATCACTGGCTTGAAATGCAGACATAACTTCCGCACAATTAGAGGCGAACTTGTGAAGCCTTAAGTTTCCGTATTTTGCTAATGCTTGCTGTGTGTCCTTCATGAGCTTAACAGCTTCCTCTTTTGTAGGACGTGACATAAGACCGTCGTCGACATAGAAGTCTCTTGTAACAAACCTAGTCACGTGACTGCCGAACTCTTGTTCTGATGCCTGAGCTGCTTTTCGGAGTCCAAGCGTAGCAACGGCAGGTGACGGACTATTTCCGAAAACATGAACTCTCATGCGGTATTCGACAAGGTTCTCTTGTAGATCGTTGTCTTTATGCCATAAAAATCTCAGATAATTTCGGTGGTCTTTCCTGACTACAAAACAGTGAAACATGTGTTGAACGTCTGCAGTTACTGCGACCATTTCTTTCCTGAAACGCAGCAATACTCCTAAGAGATCATTGGTCAAGTCGGGACCTGTTAACAGGACGCTGTTAAGTGAGACTCCGTTACATTTTGCGGAAGAATCAAACACACCCCTAATCTGATCGGGTTTTTTCGGGTGATAGACACCAAACAATGGTGAATACCAGCACTCTTCGTTGTCGTCTAATGGTGGAGCAAGCTCTGCATGATTGTTGTCCAGAATCTTACTCATGAATGCGAGAAAGTGTTCCCGTTTTACTGGGTTCCTACTCAGACTGGCGTCTAACAGATTAGCACGATGAAGAGCTTGTTGTCTGTTACTTGGCAATGGCTGTGTTGGCACTCGGAACGGTAACGGTGCTACCCAACTTCCTTCCGAGTCCCTCACAAATTCGTTGTCCATCTGCTTCATGAACATTTTGTCTTCATATGACATTCCAGGCTTATCATCTTCCCTTGTTTTTTCAAAGAGTGGCGATTGTAAATCTTTCTTTACAGGGTCTGTGTAATTTTCCCGGATGTCAAACTTGCTTGTGCATGGTTGAAAAGTTGACGGTTGTCCTGTAGGTAAAATGTTGGTTATTTTGACGTTTAGTTCATAGGGCACGTGCTGCTTGTTAATGCAAGTCTCTCCTAAACCCAACCCAGTTTCAATTGTTGTGCATATGGAGTTCTGGGTGGTCCTATGCGCTGGTCAAGGACATGGTGTGCCTCTATAATGTCTCTGCTAATTAAGAGAAGAATTTGGCAATTTTCCTCTATCGGTGGAATGCTACCTCTAAGTTCTTTTAAATGAGGGTGATGCATTGTGACTTCAGGAGTAGGTATTTCGTCCCTATTATTGGGAATATGATCACATTCTATCAGTACCGGCAGGTCAAATTTGTCGTTTCCATTTATTGATTCCATGACAAAACCTCTTCCTCTTTTCCCGGAAGTGACTACTCTGCCGGAGCATGTTGATAAGGTATAATTCTCTGGTTTGTCTTTTACGTCGAAAAGATTGAAGAATTCGGGCGATGCTAGTGACCGGTTGCTTTGATCATCAATGATGGCGTACATCCGGATAACTTTGTCCTGGTTATTCTTGTGATTAACATTCACAGGTAGTATTTTAGCACAAGATTTCCCGCTATATGTATCCTTGCAAATCTCGGTACAGGTAGAATTAACTGAGGTTGACTTAGTTTCAGCCGATTCTGTAGGCTCCCCGCCATAGGCTTGCTTGGGCGAGCTAGACTGAGAACTTGCAGGTTGCTGTGGTCTAGTAATGTGAAGTGCGGTAGGGTGTTGTTTACTTCCACATTCTTTACAACTTATGCGTTTCATACATTCACGGCTTCTGTCTGAAGTGGAATCGCAACACTTATAACAGACATTGTTTTGTTTCAAAAGTCCTTTGCGTTCCTCTATTGACTTGGCTCGGAACGCTCGACATTCATTTAAGGAATGCTTTGTATTGTGCAGAATACAAAAACCTTGTTTGCTGGCGTCTCTAGATTGCTGCTCTACCGCTGTTTTATGAGCACCAACTTTAGTCTTGGGGTGAGACGTGAACCTTGGTGCAGCACCTTTTGTATTTGGTGTGGCTTTTGACCCAAAGATGAACCCAGGATCATTCTTTGTTTTGCTAATTTCCCTGATGAAGGCAGAGAATTCTGTGAAAGGTGGAAAGGCAACTTCATATTTAGACTTGTATCTTGTAGCCCTTGTTATCCACTTTTCTTGGAGTCCGTATGGTAATTTTTCAACAATAGGATTTATCCCGGACGAAGAGTCAAAATATGCTAGCAAACATCCCAGCTTGGGATTTTCTTTGTGATACTATATTTCTGATAGAATATCGGACAAGTCATAAAGACGTGCGCTATCTTTGTTCGTCAAGTTAGGGAATTTGACGAGTTTACTTGTGAGAGAGGCCTCCAACATTTCTGGAGCACCATATCGCTCATCCAGTCTCTGCCATAACCTTTGTATGCCTTTTGTAGGATTATTTGCGTTCGACGCTCTTATGCTAA